GCATCATCATTATCATCATCGTCATCATCATCGTCATCATCGTGATCATCATCATCATCAGAATCATCATCGTCATCATCAGCATCATCATCAGCACCATTATCATCAACAACATCAGCACCAGTATCATCATCATCATCGTCGTCATCATCATCAACATCGTCATCAACATCATAATCATCTGAATCAGCATCATCAGCATCATCGTCGTCGTCATAATCATCATCAGCAGCAGCACCATCAGCATCATCAACATCATCATCAGCAGCATCATCCTCAGCCTTAGCATCAGCATCGTTGTCGTCATCAACATCATCATCGTCATCGCCATCGTCATCTTCGTCGACACTGCCATCATCATCATCATCATCATCATCATCATCATCGTCATCGTCATCATCGTCATCATCATCGAAATCGTCATCAGCAGCATCATCCGTATCATCATCGGAATCAGCATCAGCATCAGCACAAGCATCAGCATGAACACCATCATCACCAGCATCATCATCAGCATCATCAGCATCATCATGAGCATCATCACCATCATCGGCAGTAGCATCATGATCATCATCGTCATAATTGGCATCATCCGTATCATTATCGTCGTCGTCATCGTCATCGTCGTCGAGGGCATCGTCATCATCATCGTCATTGTCAGCAGAAGCATCATCATCATCATTAGCTCGAACATCATCATCACCATCACCACCATCGTCATCATCATCATCGTCGTCATCCTCATCGTCATCGTCCTCATCGCCATCGTCATCATCGCCGTCGTCATCGTCATCATCATCGCCATCGTCATCAGCAACATCATCGTCATCGTCATCATCAGCATCATCATCATCATCATCATCATCATCATGATCAGCATCATCATCGCCACCATCGTCATCATCTTTGTCATCAGCATCATCAGAAGCATCATCATCACCATCATCGTCATTATCATCATCAGTATCATCATTACCATCATCGTAATCATCATGATCATCATCATCATCATCATCATCATCATCATCATCATCATCATCTGCATCAGCAACATATTCAGCATCATCATCGTCAGCATCAGCATAATCATCATCATCAGCATCATCATCACCATCGTCATCATCGTCATCATGATCAGCATCGACATCGTCGTCGATGTCATCATCAACATCGTCGTCATCATCAGCATCGTCATCATCATCACCACCATCATCGTCAGCATCATCATCATCTTTGTCATCATCAACATCATAATCAGTATAAGCATCAGATCAGCATCAGCATCAGCAGCATCATCAGCATCAGCATCAACAACATCGTAATCATCATCATCATCATCTTCAGCAGCAACAGCATCATTACTATCGTCACCATCATCGTCATCATCAGCATCATCAGCAGCATCATCATCCGCATCACCATCGTCATCATCAGCATCATTATCATCAGCATCATCATCGTCGTCGTCATCGTCATCGTCGTCGTCCTGTTCGTCGTCATCATCGTCATCGTCATCGTCATCATCGGCATTATCATCAACGTCATCATCGTCATCATCGTCATCATCATCGTCATGAACATCGTCATCATCATCATCATCATCATCATCATCAACATCATAGTCACCATCATCATCGTAATCATCAACAGCATCAGCAGCATCATCATTGTTATCAACATCAGAATCAGAATCATCATCAGCAGCTTCATCATCGTCATCATCGGCATCAGCATCACCATCAGTATCATCAGCATTATCATCATTATCATCATTATCAGCATTAGCATCATCATGAGCATCAGCACCAACATCATCATCATCATCATCATCATCGTCATCACCACCCTCATCATCACCATCATCAGCATCATCATCAGCATCGTCATCAGCATGATTATCATCATCATCAACATCAGCAGCATCGTCATCATCAGTATCATCATCAGTATCAGCATCATCATCAGCATCAGCATCATCATCATCACCATAGTCGTCATCATCACCAGCAACATCATCGTGGTAATCGTCAGTATCATCATCAGCATCAGCATCAGCATCATCATCACCATCATCATCATCATCATCGTCAGCACCAGCACCAGCATCATCATCACCATGGTCAGCATTACCGTCGTCATCGTCGTCGTCATTATCGTCGTCGTCATCGTCATCGTCATCATCACCATAATCATCATCATCATCATCATCATCATCATCATCATCATCATCATCATCATCGTCATCGTCATCGTCATCGTCATCTTCATCGTTATCTTAATCGTCATCGTCATCGTAATTTTCATCGTTATCTTCATCGTCATCGTCATCGTCATCGTCATCGTCATCATCATGATCACCATCGTCGTCATTATCAGTAGGTCGTCCACCAGGCGGATGAGCCACCAGCATCATCACCACCGTCGTCATCCCTCGCCACTGATCCGCCGCGCCGGCGACGCCCCGCGGCGCGCACCCAGCACGGCGGCGAAGACGAAGAGGGCCACGCCGCCGAGCCCGAGGACGAGGGCGGCCACGGGGCCCGCAGGACCCTGGGCCCGCCGGGGGGGGGGGGAGGAAGACGAGGAGGGGGAAGAGGAGGAGGAGGAGGAGGAGGAGGAGGAGGAGGAGGACAAGGAGGAGGAGAGGAGGAAGGAGAGGAGGAGGACAAGGAGGAGGAGGAGGCGGCGGCGGAGGAGGAGGAGGAGAAGGACAAGGAGGAGGAGGAGGAGGAGGAGGCGGCGGCGGCGGCGGCGGAGGAAGGAGGAGGAGGAGGAGGCGGCGGAGGTCAAAGAGGAGGAGGAGGAGGAGGAGGAGGAGGAGGAGAAGGAGCCGTTGCCCGCTCGGGATGGGGCCCGCACGGGGACCCACGGCGGGCGGCGTCAGCGCGGTGCCACCGCCAGAGGGGTCGCGCGGGGGGGAGGGCCCCGCCGTACCGCCCGCAGTGGCGGCGGCCCCTCCTGGCGGGCGCCCGCGCGAGGCGGACGCCTTCAAGGCCAAGCGGCCAGAACCTGCCTGGCATTGACGCGCGCGTCGGGACAGGGCGGCGGCTCGACTGGTGCGGCGAATCACCGAGGCGCAGAGCTTGTTGCGAGACCGCCGCCCGTCGGGAGTTATGGCAGCATGCAGTCACAGCAGCAGCAGCCATGGACCAACCAAGGAGGATTGAGAATAAAAATAAAAACACACACACACACTTTTTGCGTCGGCGGCTGGGCAGAGGGCTCCGGCGGATTGGCAACAGGGGACACGCTGTATGCAAATTAAAGCTGCGGTGCACGGAAGAAGGAGAAAGAGCCGCCCCGGCGCGACAGGAAGAGAGGAAGCCAGGCCATTCAGAGCTGCCGGCTGCGGCGGGGTGAGCGCCGAGAGGGGGACACACGCACACACACACACACACACACACACACACACATACAACGCTCACCAAAACACACTCTCTGGTACGCTGCCCATGAGAATCCGTGACACGCCTTGCAATGTTTAAGACGAACGCGCACGGCGTTAAGGCGAGAGCCACATGTTGAAAAAGAACCGCCCTCAATATGCAAAACTCTGGCAATTTTCGGTTGTTTAACGAATGTGGGCAGCGCTGAGGCGAGAGCCGCACTTTGAAAAGGAGCCACCCTCAATCAGTGAAACTCCTGCACATGTTTAAGACAAATGTACGCGGCGCTACGACATGTAACCACCCGCCCTCCATCTGTCAAACTGCAACCTGTCTGAGCTTCAGAATCATAAACTGCAAAGAAGTCTCACGTGTAACGGCCAGCCCGCCCTTCCGACTGGCCCCGGGGGTGCGACAGGGGGGTTATATATAAGGAAAAGGAACGGAGGACGAGGAGGCGACGAGAAGGAGCAGGAGGACGAAGAAATGGAGGAGGAGAAGGAAGAGAAGGAGGAGGATCGAGGAGGAGCACGGGGAGGAGAGGCCGAGGAGGAGGACGAGGACGAGGAGGAGAAGGGAAGAAAAGGGGAGGAGGAATAGGGGCAGGAGGAGGACGAGGAGAAGGACAAGGAACTGGAGGAGGAGGAGGAGGAGGAGCAGGATCGAGGAGGAGGACGAAGGGGAGGAGGAGGAGGAGGAGGAGGAGGAGGAGGAGGAGGAGGAGGAGGAGGAGGAGGAGGACCAGGAGGAGCAGGCGGCGGAGGAAGTCGTCCTGCCCCCCACGGGCGGGGCGGCCGATCCTCGATCGAGGAGAAGGACACGAACGCCGCGGCCAGCAGGGCCACCGCGCCGGCGCTTTGGAGGCGCGCGCGCACAGGGGGCGAGGAGGGAAGGAGGACGACATCATCACCATTGGAATCATCACCAACACCCTCATCCTCATCATTACCATCGCCACCACCACCACAATGGTCAAAAACAATAGCATCGTCAATCCTCCCCTCCCCATCTAATTTTTTATCCGCCCCCTTCGCATCATCGCCATCAGCACCACAATCATCAGAACTGAATCCAAAATCATCATCATCCTCATCATCATCCTCATCCTCATCCTCATCATCCTCATCATCATCATTAAGAGCAGCATCAGCGTCAGCATCATCATCAATCTCATCATCGTCATCGTCATCATCATCATTACCAGCATCACCCCCTCATCACCATCGTCATCGTCATCACCAGCATCATCATCATCGTCGTCGTCAGCATCATCAACACCACCACCACCACCACTAACATCATCATCATCAGCAGCAGCATCATCATAATCAGCATCAGCATCATCATCATCATCATCACCATCAGCATCAGCAGCATCAGCATCAGCATCATCAACCTCATCAACAGCATCAGCAGCATCAGCATCATAAGCATCATCATCAACAGCATCATGATCATGACTCCGACTGCTCTTTTCCAGACCACTGCTCGCGGTGAACGAGTGAGCATCTTCAAACCAAATCTGCCCCAGCTTTTTGGGGGCGGGAGGGGTTCGGGTGAACCAAAAAGCGCAATAGAGCGGAGAACGGATGACGAGGTCGGGCCATGGACGTGGGGCACAAATATGACTCCGACTGCTCTTTTCCAGACCACTGCTTGCGGTGAACGAGTGAGCATCTTCAAACCAAATCTGCCCTTAAACAGCACACCCGCATACAGCACTGGAATGGCGAATTTCATTAGACGAATTTTACTGGTCTGGATCTTGCTACAGGAAAACCCCCCCGAGGCCCCCAAGTAAGAGGGAAGGAAGAGAAAGGAAGGGAGGAGGGAAGAGAAGAGAAAGCTGGCCACAGTTCGTGCACACGCAAGAGGCTGAGGGACGAGGCGATAGCCTTGGATAGCACGAGGCACAGCTTCTCGGGGTAAACCTGCTTCTGGCGCGTCAAGAATCCCCTTTTCCCGTGGGCCCGTCCAGCTGGTAGTGTGGTTTTCCTGAAAAGCTGCAAGTCCCCCCTGCCATGGCATTTGGCTGCATCCAGAGCGGGACATTTGATGTTAAACAAGTTGAGACGAGTACGAGCTCTCCACGGCGTGCCGAACGCGCAATAGTCAATGACATAAGACGTGCACTCGGGACGCCGCATCATAGCTGGACGCCGGTGGCCCAGCCACAAGTAGGACTGAGCTGGGTTTTCTTCACCACAGGGTAGCCCTTGCTGGATACAAGCGTCTAGGAGAACACCGGAACGATGTGCAAGCACGTTGCCTTCAGAAACTGCCACCTGATCGCGCGAATCAAGATTCGGAAGGCCAAGCGGGTATTCAGGACTGCGCAGCCGATGGGGAAGACGAGACCACTGCGGGGCACGGCGAGCCATCGTGAACGACTGACACGGAGTGCCTGCCCACATTCCCAACACAAGACCCGAACGGATCCAGCCGAGCAAGGCGTTGAAAACGCCAGTGTTCAAAAAGTCGCGAGCGGGCCCATGGCAGATATCAATGCATACGACCGCGACGTTGAGATCGGCAAGTGGAAGCCAGGCCTCCCGCCCCTGAGAACAAGTCTAAGAAGACCCTGCGGCCGCGCGGCTGCAGCTGCGCAAGAGCCCGGCGCAGTGCACGGCGAAGGGCGCGAGGCCGCGGTCGACCAGCGCCGAGATCTGGTTTCTCAGCGCCGCGGAAAGCTTGCCGAGCTGCAAGGAGACCCGCGCGTGCTTGTCGTAGCGCACGACGCTCCGGAAGCTGCGCCAGCGGCCCCTCTGCTGCACCTCGACCAGCGAGCGCGCTCGAACGAGACGATCGCGGCTGGCGCCCCCGCGCCGCAGCGCGTAGAGGCTCGGCTTGACGCAGGAGACCCCCACGTGCTCCACGGCCAGCGCGAAGGACCGGTACAACTGCCTCGAGCTGACGTTGAAGAGGGGCTCCCCGCTCGCGCGCCCGCCCTGCAGTGCTCGCAGCACCGGGATCAGCGGACGGTGGCGGCCCAGGTCGAGGAGCACGCTCAGGTCGAACCCCTGGGTCTTGGACGGCCGGCCCAACTCCTCCACGCGGGCGCAAAAGCCCCAGAACGCCCCCTGGCCCTGCGACGCGGTAGGCGGCACCAGCTGCCCCACTGTGAGGCTCAGGAGCCCCGAGGGGCGCATGTACGTCTCGAACATGATGATGATGGCAAGGGCTCCCACAGGGAACTCGGGCAGCATCGCCCACGCCAAAGCCAGCACGACGCCCCAGGGCAGAGGTGGGCGACTGCGAGCTGGCTCCAGCTGGCGCCAGCCCAGCATGGCCGCATGCGCGCCGGGGAAGACCTGACGCAGCGGGCTGCCCAGCGTGGGCTGGGCCCACACCACGGCGGCCAGCAGCCGGGAAGCCAGCGCCCGCGACCAGCTCTCGCCCCGCGCCCACTCCACGAAGTCGAGGAGGAGCGAGTCCCACTGCGGACCCGACAAGGTGGGCAGCGGTCTCCGCCCCAGAAAGTCGGCCAGCGGCTCCAGCACGTCGCAGTAGCCCGCCTGCGTCGCCGGGCGGACGCGCTCCTGCTGCAGACCGGTCAGCAGCGGGGCCAACAACCGCAGCCGCGCCCGCATCGCCGCTCGGAGGCGCTCCAGGCGGCTCGAGGCCCGGTGGGCCCCCGGGCCAGAGCGGGCCGAGCGGACAGCCCGCCGCGGCCCACCAAAGCGGGTGGGCGGGCAAACCCCAGGGGCGCTCGGCCCAGAGGGACCGGCGCTCACGGGGCCGCGGGCCGTCGTCGGCGCGCTGGCGGAGCGGCTGCTGGAGAAGCCCAGGCCCGCAACGCCCTCGACGTCGGAGTCGGACGGGGCCGCAAGCCGCAACCGCGCTGGCGCCAGGCAGCCGGTGCCGGACATGGACTGCCACCTCCGCTTTGCCCCCATGCCGAGGCCGCTGAACTCGGCTCGCAGCGTCCAGGGCGTTGAGCTCCGATGGGACCCAACGGTCGTAAAGCTTCAGCCCGACGGCGAGGGCGGTGGCCGAGGCGAGCCGGCACTGAAAGTCCATGGCCGGCGTGGACGACCTGCCCTTGGCGTGCGCAAGGATCACAGACATATTGTCACCCAAGAGAAGCACTCGAGAGTTGTGAAGACTGCAATCCCGAGCAACATGGCGCACCGTCCAGGCCCGGGCCCGAGCTTCAAGTTGGACCTGGGACCCCGGGACCCCTCTCCAGCGGCCAGCGTAGGCCACAGTCCAGCCGCGCTCGACCAGGTCCGCCGAGACCTCGACAAACGCCCAGGCCCGACCCAGGCCCAGGATGTTGGCCTCCGAAGCCCCAGCGATCTCCAGCTCCTCCTGATGCTCGAGGGCCCGGGACCGCGGCGCCTCCGAGACACTGAGGAGGCCACGAAAGCGGGCCCGTTCACGAACACGACCCACGGCGGCGACCTCTCCCGGCCCCCGGCGCACAGACCCGACTCCAAAGCCCCAGCAGGAGGCGTCGCAGCCGAAGACCCGACTCGACCAGGGCCGACGCATCGACGCACGAGCCAGAGGAAGCAGAGCACGTATCCACCGAACTTCGCGATGTACAGACGGCCACAGAGGCTGACGGCGGGTGTAACTCTCGTGAATGAAGACATAGACCTTTTCCACGAGGCACAAGAGTTCGGGGGAAAGCGAAAACAAAGCCGCGGCATGGCCCACGAAACGCTCGAGCTCCTGCCCCGCGATACTCGGTCGACCCTCCAAGAGATAATCCGACGCCAACTTCAACCTCCAAAACCGACTAGATTTAGGACGCCACTCACCCGAGGAGCCCACCAGCGTGAAACCTGCGAAGTCATTGCCCCCCGCCTCCGAGCTCTTCAGGGTCGACGCGATCCCGAGGTCCGCGAGCCGAGACCGCATTCCAAGGACGCCCGAGGCAGCAACCGACTTACTCTGGGCCAGGGAAACGAAGCTGTCGATATACAATCCGCGAAGCGACCCAACGTCGCCAAGAGGTGGCAGCGGGACTTTATCTAGGAGCCACGGGGCCTCGGGGGAAACTCCATCTAGCTGGTACTGGTTCGCGGCCTGTACAAGGGCCACTGCCCAATTCCATCCCACGGGCACCACACGGGCCCGCAAGCGAGCCCAACCACGATCCCGAACCGCGCCCGGCAGAGAAGCGACGAGGGACGGGGACAGGTGCGCAATGGGAAGGGATGGCAGGCCGAGAAAAACACCTGTACTGTTCAGGGAGAGCGAACTGGTAATAGCAAACTTCGACGTCGCCCCCGCGCAGCACGGGAATCACACGAGGCTGGCATTCGAGATGAGCAAGGGCCTCGCCGGAGGGCAAGACCACACCAGGGGGCTCGCGAAACCGAAGGTTAGGCACACGAGCATCCCAAATCCGGCGAAGGGCGCCTGATTTTTTCGAACGAAAAACATGTCACTCTCTTCGAGCACATCGTCGCTGACCTCCACAACGCCAGACTCCCAGAGCTCGGAAGCGAACTCACCAAAAAGTTTAGGGTTGTCCCGCAGAACAGGATCAAGGTACAGGCTGCCATCAAAACTCTCACGACGGGCGGCAGCCTCGTCCTCAGAAAGAAGGATTGAACGATCTTCAAGCGCGGACCGCAGGGCAGGCGGCAGGCACTCACTCAGAGATACTCGCCCAGAGAGCCCCGCGGGGAGCGACACGTTCCCCCGCTCGAAGTTCGCACGAGCACCGACGGCCAACACGTCGTCCGCGCAGCCGGGCCGCGAGCCCTGGAGCGACTGCCACGCCCCCAGGGAGCTCCCGCAGTCAGGCGGGGGAGCCGCGACCGATCCACACTGCCGGGCAAGGTGTCGAACGGCCGAGACCTGAGCTGAACTCAGCGACGCAGGCGAAGTAGAAGGCGGCTGCGGCGCACCCAGCTCATTCAAGGCGCGGATGCCCTCGAACAGCCACCCCTCCTGGGCCCGTCGACGCCGAAGTCGCCGTCGCTGACTCTGGGGCAAGCCCAGCCCGCCGGCACCTCCAGCACAGACCTCCGAGGCGGCGGCCAGGGAGATCGGCAGGGTGTCGCGCTGCCTCATCTGCTGCGAAGCTGAAAACGCCTCAGGGCGGCCCCACCTGCCAGCCCTGAACCCCTCACGAAAGCCTTCGAGGAGGTGGGGCATTCCCCCTCGCGGCGGCACAAGACAGGAGGAAGACAGGCCGTCAGGCCTTCTCCTTCTCTCTGTTGGGACCTTTGGGCTTCTTCTTTGATTCGGCCGATGCAGGTCCCGCCCCAACTCCTCTAGCAAGCGTAGCCTCCTCCCTCGCCTTGCGGCGCTCCTTGAGCACAGCGGCCCGGGAGGCCAACTCCTTCGCCACGAAATCCTCCAGCTCGGGTACGATGATAGCGCTACTCCGAAGATTCTTGACACCGAGAAAGAGAGAGCGCTCATTCAACCAGTCGTCGCCGCCCGAGCCGCCTGTGTCCACCTCGCGAAGTAAGTCCTTGTACGCACTCTCCCACATCTGGTACCGGCGGCTGACCAGCTCGAAAGTCGCCAAGTTGCAGATCTGCACCTGGTCGACCGTCATCGCGACCTCGATGAGCTGGGACAGCAGCAGGTGCTCGTCCACGCCCACGTCGGTGGCAGACAGGCCCATCACCGAGCGCCACCAATAGTGCCGCTGGACGGGGCTGTGGTTCCCGTCGTGGATCCGCTCCGCCGTGAAGTAGGCCGACCGAGGGCCCTCGATCTCCCAGCTATCCTTGAACTCGACGAGCTGCATGTCCTGCAAAGCGCTAGCAAAGCTGCGCCGAAAGCGCCGCTGGCCGTCCTGCTTGGCGGGCAGAATGCGGGAGTCGTCACTTCCCCCACCACCGGGAGCCGCGGGCAGCGTGCCCTCGAGCCCGCCGGACAGCACCGTGCCGTCGAGCAGCTTGAAGAGGCACCGGTCGTTGGAGCTGAACTCGACCGCCCCGAGAGCGGCCGTGAGAGCGTCACCCCGCTGCACGGCGCCTCGGCCCTCCAGCGCAAACCACTTCTCCACGAAGGGGGCGGCGCCCTCAGCGGGCACGAGCGCGCCTGGGCCCCCGTCTCCGGGAGCGGGGCCTGGCGCCGCCGGCGCGGCGGGCCGAAGGCCCCGCGCGAGCGCCTCCCCCGTCTCCATGTAGTACTGGCAGTCCTGGCCGAACTGGTAGTGATCGACCAGGAAGTGTGGGAGCCCACGAAGAGCGGCAGGCAACTGCCCGTTGGCCAAAAACTGCCGCAGCCCATCGGCCTCGGCAAAATCCTCCTCAAAGATATCGAAGTCCCGCGAGATAGCGACCCACTTGGAGCCGCTGACGTGGCCGAGCAGGACGCGCTCATGCCACTCCACTGCCGCCCCGCCCGCGTCCTGAAAGTAGCAGACGAGGACCCGGTCGCCGGGGCGGGCTGCCTGGAACCACGCTGGCGTCGCCATCCTCGCACGCGAGTGTCAGGACAGTGTCGCCAACCGATGAAGAAGGACTCGAACTACTGCGCCCCAAGCTGCGACCGAACAACAGTCCGAACACAAAGGCCGTGAACGAGCAGATCGTAAGAAGCACGAGCACGCTGAGAAAGCCAAACCCGTCGACGCTCTTGGAGTGGCAGTGGCAGTCACACTGGCAGACGCACTGGTTCGCGCGGCCGACCAACTCTGCCAAGAGACGGCACTCCCCGCTGGCGGTGTCCACTGGGGGTGGCGCCTCGCAGAAGCACTCGACGGGTGCGGGCCACAGGAGAGTGCGAAGGAAAGCAAGCTCGCGAATCGTCGAGAAACCGAAGAGCAGAGCTTCCACATGGTTCCTATCTTGAACCAAAAAGCGCTATAGAGCGGAGAACGGATGACGAGGTCGGGTCATGGACGTGGGGCACAAATATCATCATCATCATCATCATCATCATCATCATCATCATCATCATCATCATCATCATCATCATCATCATCATCATCATCATCATCATCATCATCATCATCATCATCATCATCATCATCATCATCATCATCATCATCATCATCATCATCATCATCATCATCATCATCATCTTCATCATCATCATCATCATCATCATCATCATCATCATCATCATCATCATCATCATCATCATCATCATCATCATCATCATCATCATCATCATCATCATCATCCCCAGCATCCCCAGCATCATCAGCATCATTAGCAGCAGCAGCATCATCAGCAGCAGCAGCATCAGCATCAGCATCATCATCGTCATCATCATCATCAGCATTCTCATCAGCAGCAACAGCATCCTCATCATCATCAGCATCATCATCAGCAGCATCAGCATCATCAGGCATCACCATCATCATCAGCAGCATCATCAACATCATCATCAGCATCATCGTCAGCATCATCAACAGCATCATCATCATCATCATCATCATCATCATCATCATCAGCTGCATCAGCATCATCATCAGCATCATCAGCAGCATCATCATCATCAGCAGCAGCATCAGCATCATCAGCAGCAGCATCAGCAGCATCCATCATCATCATCGCATCATCATCATCATCATCCATCATCATCATCCTCATCAGCATCAGCATCAGCATCAGCATCAGCATCAGCAGCATCATCATCATCATCAGCATCAGCATCATCATCACCATCATCATCATCATCATCATCATCATCATCATCATCATCATCATCATCATCATCATCATCATCATCATCATCATCATCATCATCATCATCATCATCATCACCATCCGTAGTCCTTCATGCTCCTCCTCCTCTTCCTCCTCCTCCTCCGCCTGTACGCTGGACGCTGGACCTGGGGTTCGGTGATGACCGCTGCCATCCCCGCCAAACTAGGTAAATGAGGAGAAGTTCTTCCAGGGCGGAAGACGGGGGGCGACCTCCTCCTCCTCCTCCTCCTCCTGCCCCTCCTCCTTTTCCTCCTGCCCCTCCTCCTCCTCCCCAAGCTCCCCCCCCCAAAAAAACAAGCCACTAGCCCTCCAAACACAGGCACACACACACACACACACACTGACACACACACACACACACACACACACAAAAAAAAAAAATCACACTGACAAACAAAAAAATGCGCACCCGGGCACGGCGGCGGCGAAGGTGTCCGACGACGTGCCCTCCACGGCGGACAGGACCCTGGTGCGCTCCAGCGTGCTCAGGACGCCTGCGCGCCCCCGCGGCGGGCTTGGCCAGCGCGCGGCGGGGGCACGGCACGGCACGGCGCGGACGGAGGGGGGGAGAGGGACACAGGGGAAGAGGAGGAGGAGGAGGAGGAGGAGGAGGAGGAGGAGGAGGATCGAGGCGGAGGGAGAGGAGGAGGTGGAGGTGGAGGAGGAGGAGAAAGGTCGAGAAGCAGGGTCGAGGAGGAGGAGCAGGGGCAGGGCTGCACTCCACGAGGGGGGACGGAGAGAGCTGTGCGGCAGCCACTTCTGGTCTGTCTCGGCCGAGCCACGCGCTGGCTCGGGAGAGCTACGAGCAGAAGAGGAGCTGCCGCCCTACGCCCTGCCCAGGCGGCGGGGAGGGCAGACTGCGCGCGGCGAAAGGGGGGGAGGTCTTTCGGTTAGAGCTCTGAGAGGGGACCAGTCTCAGGCCTCTTGATACTCCAGAGAAGCGCTCGTGATCTTTCTTCATTCGGACAGTGTGCTTCCCAGCTCGAGTTCCACAGAAAGAACCAACAACACGTCTTCAACATTTGAAAGTTTGTCCGTCGCAGCTGGGGCCAGTCGTGGGCGCACCAACTTCTGTGCCGGGTGGCGACGTCGCACCGACGCATGCGATGGGGAACGGGAACGTGCCGACAAGGGGCGACCCATGGGGACACGCACAGGAACTATCCCATCACGAGGCCTGCTGGGGAGCCTGCCGGGCGTGTGAGCAGTGTGCGCAGCTCTACCGGCGCCACTGCGGCCAGAATTAGGAGGCACCATGCGAGCCCTGCCCCACCACCCCACGATTTCTAAGGGGGGAGGTGTGGTTCACTTCGCTCGAGAGGTCCCGAACGAAGTGAACCCCACCTCCCCCTTGGAAAATCGTGGGGTGGTGGGGTAAGGATCGCATGTGGCAAGAATCTCCCACGTGCTGTGCTACTGGAGCAGATGCGAGAACCTGGCCAACGTCTCTGTGAACGTCTGCCCGAACTTGCTGCTCCGCAACACCGCACCGACACCATCGATTCGGGCGACGAGAACCCCTGGGGCGAACTTCGCGAAAGGGAGGCAGAACGGGCGGACCCGCCGCTTTCACCGTGCAGCCCGAGGCAGCGCGATCGACGAACATGCCAGGGGGAGGCCCCAGTGGACGTGGAGGCAAAACGCACGGCGAGGGTGCTGGAGCCGGCGGAGCAGGTACAGGACACGCACACGGAAGAAAATGCTGTCGGACTTAAACCCAATGCAAGCGGGCGAAACGGAAGAACGGCGGCGGACTTGCGCCACGCCAGCATGTGTGCAGCGGTGCCCGCTCCCAGCCCGCAGGAAAGACAGCGGCGGCTGCCGAGCCAGTGAGCTGGAAGCGGGCGGGGCGCAGGCACACGCTCCTTGGGCCGCTCGAGGGGCGGGCGACCCCCAGCGAGGAGACCGAGTCGAACGGGGGTGGTGGCGGATGGGGCGGACCGCCTGGCCACCAGGATGCCATGTCTCGGTCGCCCGCCTTCAGCGGGCGACCCACGGGGGCCCGAGCCTATAGAGAGCGTGCGCCGCAGACGGAGGGCAGCACGGCTGCGGCTACGGCTCGAGCCCGAGGAGGGAGGAGGGAGGAGGGAGGACGAGGAGGGGGGAGGAGAAGGAGGAGCAAGAGGAGGGAGGAAAAGGGAGGAGGAGGGAGGAAGGGCGACGGAAAGAGGACGGAGGAATGGATCATGATTAGTTGTTCTCGATCCTCCTCCTCCGCCTCCTCCTCCTGCTCCTCCTCTTGCTCCTCCTCCTCCTCCTCCTCATCATCATCATCATCATCATCACCACCACCACCACCACCACCGCCACCACCACCACCACCACCACCACCACCATCATCATCATCATCATCATCATCATCATCATCATCATCATCATCATCATCATCATCATCCTTTTCCTCCTCCGCCTCCTCTTCTTCGGTCATGTCCCTTCTCCTCCTCGTTTTTCATGTTTGGGCGGCTATGCAGGCGGGCCTCTGAAACAGACATCAGATTGACCAAGGCCCCTTTCCTTTCCCGAGTGAATTGACCGCTTAAGAATGAAATCGAGAAGATGGAACGTCGAAGCACATTCCCGGGCGACCATCGCATAGGGATGGATACCGACGACATTCACGCCGCACGCACGGTCGAAACCGTGTATGGGGTCGCGCCCATCTGGGACTTGGTCCCTATAACGCCACCAACTTTCATGGGCGGGCACTCATTCACGGAGAAGACCGTCGCACTCCCGAAGCAACCTTTGGGCACGGGGTCGGGCAAAAGCCCCACACAGTCTACAAACAACATACCCCGACCTTTCCACGGCATCGTGTTCCCGCGGAAGGGTCGGGTTGGGCTGGGAAGGGGGGTCTGCTTCACGGCCGGCATGCGAGGCCGAACTCCGCGCGGCGTCAAGGAGCCCCCCACCCCGAAGCAAGGCCTTGGACTTGAGACCCCCCGGGCCAGCCGCCGCCAGGACAGTTTTCGTGCTCAGCAAGTGAGAGCCCGGCAGAAAACTTGACCAACCTAGTACACCCACAACACTACTACTGGCCTCCCTCGTCACGAACCACGGTTGAGCGGCGACTGCGTTCATCTTTCCGATACGGACTGGGCAGGGGCGGAAGGGAGGTGGTCGCCACCTCACTGCCGCTGAGTTCAAGCCTGGAAGCTACTGATACATCTGAGGATACGACGCCGACGCTAACAGGCGTCCCTCGCTCGTTCGACATTCGACCGCGGCGGGGCGCAGGGCTCAACCCCATCCATCGCGCGCCTGTCCGCCGCCTCTTCCATGAGATAGTGGCGGGCCCCCAGGGGCCCCCAGGCCCGCCGCTGAATATCAGCCATGCGGGACGTGATCTTCTCAACTGGCGAAGGATCTCCAGGCACCAAACCCTGGTCGCCCAGAGAGTTCCGCGCCCCGCGCCAAAGATGGGCCTCGATTTCATCAGACGCAACGCAGTAGGCCCTTCCCTCGAGGACTTCATCGGTAGTCTGCGAACTGTCGATGATGATCCATTCCAGGCCAACCGAGTGTTTGACGGCCTGCAAGACGGGATAAATTTCACACGGGGCCGAGGTCGGGCGGGCAATCGGGACAGGGCCAAAGATAGCCCGAGTCCCAAAATTCTCGCCAACGCCCCAAGACACCGCCGCCGAAACAACCCACGCGCAGCTCCTCAATGCCAGGATTCAGGACACTCCTATCCGTCGCCACCCAACCCGCCAGAATGGGCAGAGCCCCCTCATCACCGATCTGGAAGATGTCTGGCGGGACGGGCAGCACAACGTCAAGCGCTGAATAAGCCACGAGCCCTCGACCCCCCTAATCTCACTGGCAGCCGTCTCGTTACTGGCAGCTGCGATGCTCGGATAGAAGACGCCCCTGAAACCCTTTTTCTCGCTCGGAGCAGCGAGGCGCCCGCGCGCGCCAGCCTCGCGCTTGCAGCAGACGCGCGACGAGGAGCCCGGCGCGCCCTCGCAGAGCGGGAAGACATTTGAGTCGACCTGTCCCGTCTCGGAGCAACGCGACTGAGATGGGCGCCCCCACCCCCCCATCCCCAGCGTCGCCACTCGCGCGCAATTGACGCGGCGCCCCGCCCACTCCCGGCCGCCCGCCCTGGCGCCCACGACACTTGAAAGGGGGCTGAACATGGCGCGGGTCTCACGAGCGATCCCCCATCCGCGGCGCGGCCCCTCTGCCACTCGGATCTGCTTCAAAGGCGGGCTCTCGCGGAGGCCGAAACACCCTGCATCTTCGCCCGCTCGCTCAGCTCGCACGCAGCGACGATCGCAGCTCCAGCGGGCCCTCTCGCCACTTTCCGCGCGTCCACGCCACTGGGCGCCACTGCAAGCCCGCGCTTGCCGCTGGGGAGCTGCCCACCCCGCGATTGCGCCATCGGCTCGCGCCTCTCTGGGCGGCCCCATTCCTCCGGGGACCAGACTGACTTCGAGGGGAGAGGGGGTGGGGGGGGGCAGTCGTCGATGTCGTGCTCCGTCTGCGCGAGGCGCGACAGCCCATCCCAGCGCGCCAGACCCTAAAGCTCCGACCCCACCACGAACTGCACGGCGCGGCACCTGCCCAATGAACGATACGATCGAGGCCGCCAAACCCCCGCAGGAAGCCCCGCAGGCAATGGGGGCCTTGAGACCTTGCCGGATGACTGCCCGCACTCTGACTCCGCGCCGTTTAAAGTCGCGGCCTTCAACCATCTCCCTTTGGCGGCACGCGTCCTCCTGTCACGAGCGATGCTCATCCGTCGCCCGCGCGGTCGGCTGCCCCCGCCCAGCCACCTTTCGTTCCCCGACTGCCGCAGGCCAAGCCTCTCCATCCCTGGCCTGAGCTCGCTGGCCAAGCCCTCGGAGCTGGCGACGTTCTTCAGGCCCCCCCGCTGGCCGGCGGAAAGCTTCATCGACGCGACTTGCCCCTGGGGCCGCGCAACAATGGCGACGACCCCTGGGAAGGCCCCAGTCGGCTCCTCGCCGGCGCCGACGACGCGGATGGCCACGTCGCCCGCGCATTTGGCGACGCCCATCTCAGCCCCCGATCGCGACCGCGCCCGGCCCGGGATCGGGCGCGGCACCACCTGCAAGAACTGATCGGCGAACTTCAAGCCTGCACGGGGGCCTCGACAGCGCGAACACCGGGCCGGCGACTGCCTACCCCTTGCGCACAGCCCCCAGGAATGCGAAAGACTCCGAGGAAAGGGCCAGGACATCCATTGGCACCTGCTGCAGCACGCCAAGATACCAAGTCAAATTCTACGACACGCGTTCGCACGCCTTCCCAGGGTCGACCAGGGCCGTCACCGAGCGGAGAGGACTGCCCTGTAGCGACTCATCATCGCACGGACATCCACACTCCAAGTTCGCTGCCCCCGCCTGGCGCCGCCCATTTCCGAATGAGGGGTTCTCTCACCGCCTCCCAGATGCGAGAAGGAGTGGGGGGGAAGGCGCGCGGACTGCCACCCCCGTCCTCCTTCGCGACCAGGAAAAGGATCTGCCCGCGGATCGCGATGGGCCACGAGCGCGCGATTTCGCGCGCCATGAGGATCTGAACCAGAACAGTCCAGGCAGCCGTCGCTGAGCCACCCAAGGTGCCCGAAGTGCCATCCACCCATTCCCGAGCCAGTCCTCCACTTGTAGCTCCCGCAGATGGTCCGAAGCTGCCTGGCCTCGATAGTGGGAAGTCGGCCAGCCCGTCGGCGGCGCTGGCTCTCGATTTCATATTCCAACCACGACTGCGGCGGTAGCATTCCCCAACTTGCCAAAAATCCCCCACTCTTCGAACTCAAGCGCGACTACCTCCTCGGGGTCGGGCGGGAGCTTCATCCTCTTCACCGACGAGATTGGCTCTTTCCAGACTTGCCTCCAGCACCATATCTCGCGCAAGTAGCCACCAGACCCATGCCCTGGGCATGCGTCGGACAGCCCGTAATAGCAGGCGCCAGATCTGGCCCAGAACAAGCCAGCCTCACACGCCGGCGGCCAGTCCGCAGAAGCACACGACGAGATCGACGACCCCCACTGCGGCGATGGACCACTCCCCCATGGCAAGCTCGCCCAGCGCGTCGAGGAGTAAGGGGCCCCAGTCCCCCATCTGATGCCGGCGATGGTCGGCGCGCAGAGCCCGACACCAAACCGCGACGAGCCGCCACGTCGCCTCGACCCGGTTGCTCTCCGCGGCGCAGGGGGGGGGGCACTACTGGAGGCAAGGGTCGGCAGCCCCCCCCCCAGCCAGGCCACGGATAGCCTCTCAGCGCGCAAGGCGGCAGTTGGCAAATCCAGGCCAACCCCACAGAAAGCCACCGCCAGGCCTGCGCGGGGCCACGGCCGGCCACGGGGCTGCAGCTTCGGGGGGGGGCTGTCTCCCCGCAACCTCTGGCACGGCACCCCGACCTCGATACTTCGCCGCCTGGGTCCTGCTCCAATCAAACAAGTCCCTGAGCTCGGCCTCTGCCCCTCGCAGAACTTAGCCCAGACATCGTCGATCTCGGCCCGAGCGCTGATCCCCTCCACCATGGCGACGGGGGCCAGCGTCGGAGGTCACGTTGGCGGCGGACCGATGACAGGGCACTATTGTCTGGACACTGTAGGCCGCCCACGCCCTCGTCGCCGATGTCCAAGTTGGGCGGGGAGGCACGTGGGGCATGTTCTCGGAGGACTGCGCCTCACCCAGGAGGAATCGAGAACCCTGTCAATGACGCACTCGGCGACCTGCTTTGACGTCTTAGTTCTGCATGCGCCTTCTGCGCCCAGCCACGCGCGCACGTGGCCCTTGACCACCTGTTTACATGGGCTGTCGGCGATGGCCTTGGGCTCGTTGTTGAAGCCCCCCGTGACGATTCAATAACCCAGCCGATGTTGCGGACTTCCGTGAGCCCAAGGCAGAGTCTCCCAGCAGCTCCTTCATGCGAAATGTCCCAGCTCGTCGGCTCGGGCGCCATGTTCAAGGCACTCGGAATGATGATGGCTACTCCTGCTGAGTGCCCGTCCTCTGCAGTGCATACGGCTGGCGCCCCCACAGCTCGCCAGCCTTTGGCCCCCGGGGCCGCGCCCGAAAAGTTCTGCCAATCGGAAGGCTTGCCGTGCTCCTGCACGGCCACGTTGGGGATGCCGCCCCAAGAACTACAAAACTCTGTCCAAGGACACGTTGGCGTTGAGGGTCATCAAGCGACAGCGTGCTCTAGCTCGTCGCCTCCTCCCCGCGCCCATGCCCCGCTGCAGCGGCAGCTGCGGCACGATTCCCGTCCCCCAAACCTTGTGAGGACCCACGCGGGTCAAAGGGAGGGATCGTCTACCATGGCCGCCGCCTGAGTGGCGGCCGCCTTTGCTTCGAGACATTACACGGCGGCATTGGCTGACTCGCGACTCCTCCAGCATTCGCACCGGGGGCCACAGCAGGCGCGCCAAAGTCCAGCGCCCGAGCCAGGCGTCGCGGAGGCCTGCACTGCGACCTTCGGCTTGCCGGCGAGCTCCGTGAGCATGGCGGCGAAGGCCTCGGGCATCTTGGCTTCGCCAGCGACTGACTCGGGCGTCGCCTCCAACAGGGGCTTCTCCAGGCCCCCGACGAGATGCTGCACTGCCGCGGTGCCACAGTGCGGTGCCACTTGCGGCGGCTGCTCCTGCTGCAGTTTTTTGGCCAGCGCGGTCCTCGCGGTCCGCAGCTCCAAGTCGGGCAGCACGACATCGCGTTGGCGTTCCTACCTCCTGCTGAGGGGAACCATATTGCCCTCGTGCTGCTGCAACTGCTGCGGCATGGGATTGCCAGCACGCCGCTCAGCCACCAGAGCAGCACGTTCCGCCTTCTTGCGCTCGATCTCGGCGTCCAAGGGTCCCCGAGGGCCTCCAGGGTGCGAATGACCCTGTCGAGCTTGGCCAGGGGGTCGGTTCCGCCAGCAGGCTGCTTGGCGAAGAGGGCTGCCCCTGGGCCGTGCCAGCCCCAAGCAGCGGCGCCGTCACCGCCAGCGGGCCGCCAGCGCCGCGAGCAGTGCCGCGAGGAGCGCGAGGGCCGCCACCATCAGGCTTGCACCCCTTGCAGCGCCCCTTGGGCTGCGGGGGTGCGCGGGCCTGCCATGGCGGCGCGCCTGAGGCCGAAACGGCCTCGTTGATGCAACGCTGCACATGCTTCGGGGATGGAGCAAAGCACGATCCACACTGCAACTTCGTGGCAAAGTTACCCCCTGTTCCGCAGGCCCCGCACGTCCACGGGGCCGCGTGGCGAAGACTGGAGGATTCCCACCAACGAGAATGGGGGGCCCTGCGTGGCCCCACCAGAAACGGACGTCCCGCACAGGGGAGAGAAAGAACGCGCCGGGCGGCACCTCGATTTTTGTCGCACAGCGGCGGAAACCACAAGCTCGAAGCCGGGCGACACGGGTTTCAAACTTGAGCCAAAAGGGCTACGGCTCCTGCTCCTGCTCCTGCTCCTGCTCCTGCTCCTGCTCCCGCTCCTGCTCCTGCTCCTGATCCTGCTCCTGCTCCTAAGAAAGTAAGACCCCCGCAGGGGGGCCCCAGGTGGCCTGCGGGGGATTCCTTCGGGGTCCTTTCGATTCCTCTGCGTTCCTCGGGCTTCCTTGGAGTTCGTTTGGACTCCCAGGGCTCGGGGCCCGGGGCCCTGGGCGCAGGGTGCAGGGCTCAGGGCTCCGGGCCCAGGGCCTTGGACTCAGGGCCGTGGGTCCACAGCCCCGGGGCTCCTGGCTCAGGGCCCAAGGCTCAGGACTGAAGGCTCCAGGCCCATGCCTCAAGGCTCAGGGCTCGTGGCCCCAGGCCTGAGGACGCGGGCCCCAGGGCCCAGGACACGGGCCCGAGGGCCTGAGGACACAGGCCTCAGGCCTCAGGGCTGAAAGCTGAGGACGCAGGGCTCAGGGGGCCCTGGCTTCAGAGCTCAGGGACCAGGGACCAGGCTCAGGGCACAGCGACCTCGCCTCGCAGCTCGGGGCTCAGAGCCTGGGGCGAAAGGCCCTGGCCTCTGAACTCAAGGCCCAAGGTTCTGAGCTCAGGGATCAGGGCGGAGAGCCCAGGGTTCAGGGCTCGGGGCCCTGGAATGAGGACTCAGGGCCCAAGGGGCCAGGGCCCATGGCCCAAGTCTTAACCTGAGGGCCCAGGGCTCAGGAGTCTGCATGAGTCGTCAGGGGTTCTCAATCTTTCTCAAGGGTCCTCAAGTCTCTTCAGGATTGCGGTGGACTCCACTGGATTCATCGGGATCCCTCCGGGTTCCTTTCGATCCCTCGGGGTCAGCAGCACGGTTCACTTGAATGCCGTCTGAGTCCTTTGGGATCCTGTGCGTTCCTGCGGGCTCCTCAGGATTGCCCCAAAGTCGTCAGGGTTACTCAGGGTTCCCAGGGTCCTACAGGGGGGGCGGCAGGGGTCCTCATGACCCCCAAAGCTCCTCAAGAGGATTCCTCAAGATTCCTCGGGACCCCGCCGGGGGGCCCAAGGGTCCTCAGGAGGAGGAGAAGGAGGAGGAGGAAACAAAGGAGGACGACGCGGAGGAGGGGGAGAAGGAGGAGGAGGAGGAGGAGGGGGAACAGGAGGGGGAGGAGGAGGAGGAGGAGGAGGAGGAAGAGGAGAAGGAGGAGGGGCCTTCGGTGGAGCTCTCTATGGGGCCACGAAACGCTGTACTGGGTGGGGGCTGGGGGGGGTGACGCACGCGGAGCGGTCCCATTGGGGCCTTCAGTGGAGCTCCCTATGGGGTCACGAAACGCTGTACTGAATGGGGGTGACACATGCGGGCGGTGCCACTGGGGCCTTCGGTGGGGCTGTACTGGATGGGGTGACTGACGCATGCGGGCGGCCCCGTGGAGCTCCCTATGGGGCCACGAAACGTGTGAGGGGTGTGCTGAAACGGGTGGCGATGATGATTGTGATGGAGGAGGGAAGAGAGGAGGGGGAGGAGGGAGGAGGAGGAGGAGGAGGAGGAGGAGGAGGAGGAGGAGGAGGAGGAGTGAGAACGCGGGGCGCTGTCTCTTCAAAACAAAAACCCAACACCACAGGATGATTGGGAAAAATATGAAAACCTCGAATGACCGCCAAGATCTCAGGAAACAGCGGCGTACCTCAGAGACTCTGAGAACCGTCAAGGTCTCAGAGCACGGGTAGACGACCGAGGGCCTCAGGCTAGTACGCCCGTCGTCGTCATCATCGTCGTCGCCGCCGCCGCCGTCGTCGTCGACGCGTAGCCGACCAAGGGCCTCAGGCTGGCACGCCCGACGGCGGGCCCAATGCGCACCGGAGGCAGCTCGAGCGGAACCCCCGCGCGCGTGCGCGCCCCGCTTCTCGGCGACGACGACGACGACGACGACGACGACGACGACGACGACGACGACGACGACGACGACGACGACGACGACGACGACGACGACGGCGGCGACGACGGCGGCGGCGGCGGCGGCGGCGGCGGCGGCGGCGGCGGCGGCGGCGGCGGGGGGCGCGCCCTGCTTCTCGGTGAGGGTCAGAGGCCGCGTAATGCCAGCCGCGGACGCGACGGAGGCCTCTTCCCGGGCGCCGAGGGCGCTGGGGGCGACCCAAACCTCCGACGATCAGTCCCCCGATTTCGGACCTCGGCGGCCTCTGCCGGGCCCCAAAAAGATCAGAAGAGGATCCAGGACGAGCAACGACTCTCGGGGAACCGGCCGGGACCTCTAAGGCCGTGGACTAAAAAGAAATCGACTGATCGGCTGTCAGGGATACCGAGGGTGCCGAAGGTGCCGAGGATGCCGAAGGAGAAGACGGCGACGGCGACGGCGACGGCGATGGTGACGGCGACGACGACGACGGCGGCGGCGGCGGCAGTGGCGACGCAGCGAGGGCGACGACGATGGCGGCAGGGGCGAGGATGGTGCCGACCTCGCCGCGCGAGGGACGCCAGACAGGAGGCGCCGGCCGGACCTGTGGAGCATTGGGCCCTCTTCGAAACCAACGTGGGGGCCGTATCCTAAAACTGCATGCCCTCCTAGCCGAGGCCAGGAGGGTCTGTACACCATCCTGGGTCCCACGGAAGCCCTGGCCACGTTGCGGCCTGCGGACGCAAGCTTATAGACTCGACGCGTCTCCACGTTCGCCGCCCCTGCAGCCAAGGCGCCCCCGACTCAGATCAGTTCAAAAAGCGCTCACCGGACCCTTCCCGTCGTCAATCCTGGCCGCTTTTCATCGTGGATCAACTGTTGACGGGCCAGGCACGTCCGGAACAGGCCCTCAGAAACCCAAACTGACAAAACATCTCTTATAGCCTCATGTTCATCACTTGCTGCAGGCGCAGCATCAGCAGCAGCAGCAGCAGCGTATCGTCATCGCCAACATCACCACCACCAACACCATCACCACCACCACTATAACTTCCACCTCCATCCTCATCACTAGCATCATCGCCATCACCCTCAACAGCATCCCCATCGTCATCCTCATCAAGATCGTGCCCGTCACCCTCATCATCATGGCCGCCACCATCATCATCACCATCGTCATCACCATCATGTTCCGCAACACCACCTCCGAATAACCTCCATCACCGCCAACACCACCACCACCAGCACCATCACCCCCATTGTCCTCCTCAAACTCCACATAATCGTCCGCTCCACCGTCGCCACCACCACATCCGCCTCAATGTTTTCCGTCAGTGACAAGGCGGCCAACTCCGCTCCAGCGAGAAGCTAGACAGGGGCACTAACTAGCGAATTGGCCGGCGGGAAAAGGAGGGGGGGGACGGCCGAGAGGAAGAAGGGACGCTACATCCGCCTCAACCTGCATCGTCCAGAAAACTCAAAAATGCACAAGAGCATTCCGCGGGCTTCCAATCGAAGTAATCACGCAGAGGATGAGAGACCACTGGCACACGCCAGCTGTAAAGTGCAGGCCACGACAGCATCTGAGCAGATGCGAAGCGTAAGAGCTCAGACAGCATACATCCACCACCACAATCATCCCCTTCATCTTCTTCATCCTTTTCAACACCACCTCCACCACCGTCATCCTCCCGCGAGCACCGAAGCGGCCCGTCGAGCGCGCACCCTAGAAACCCCAACCTTCACGAGAGCAGCGCGACAGCGACGACCCAGCCGAACCCAGCACGACGACCCAGCAGCTGCAGGGAGCGGCCATCCGCTGGGCCAGGCCCACTCGGCGGCGACCCAGGATGCCTCCGCCTCCTCCTCCTCCTTCTCCTCCGCCTCCTCCTCCTGCTCCTCCTCCGCCACCGCCGCCGCCGAAAGAGGAGGGGAGAGGGGACGGAGGGGGAGAGGGAGGGAAGAGGGGGGGAGGGGGGAGGGGAGAGGGGGATGGGGAAGGAGGACGAGGAGGAAGAGGAGGGGAAGATGAAGACGAAAATGTCGATGAAGATGAAATGACGATGAAACTAGCGACGACGACAACGACGACAACGACGACAATGATGGGGAGATGGATGAGGAGGACGATGATAATCATGCTGGCTGGCGCTGATGATTGAAATGACAATGGTGCTGATGACGACGACGATGGCGATGACGATGACGATGACGATAACAAACACGATGCCTCTTCATGATTAGACGAAGATGTTGATGAACATGTTGATGGTGATGACCTCATCGTGATGGTGATCAGGATGACGATGGTGATGTTGGTGTTGGTGACGGCGACGGCGACGACGACGATGACGATGACAATGAAGATGCCGGTCAAGATAACGATGTTGATGACGATTGAGATTACGACGATAATGGCGATGTTGAGGACGATGACGACGATCACGACAACGACGGGGCGGAAAAAAGGAGGAAAATGGGGATACTTCCGACCCTCCCCACTCTACTTGTCCAGCCTGTCTCGCCAGTCACACGTTCGTTTCAGCAGTATTGCCGCAAATCACCCCATCAAAAGGCACTGACAAAAACAAACGCCCTCCGAGGCCCAGATGGGGTCTCGGAAAGTGCACGCACCACTCCTGTGGGGACGGCCCACAGAGGACGACAAGGGAAAGATGAGGACGGCGGGGCCGAGGTGGAAGAAATGACGACCCCAAACCGCAGAAACAACAAGGCGAGGGGACGGCAGAAAGAGAGCGGAGGCGACAGAACGACGCGACAAGCCGAAAAGAGGTGAAACGACAGGAAGCGCAACGATGAGCACAACTCCAATGCGGCCTCAGACAAAGAGGCACGAAACTCTACGGTAATCAGACCAGCCAGTGACCTGAACGTGTTGCTGCACACCAAACTTAGGAATGTGCATCAGAAGGAGATAAGAGTGCCATCCAAGGTCGTCCACGCAGCCAGAGCCCTGACGTATCTGCTGCACCGGGTCTGCATGCAACATCTTGGACCACCGCCGCTCAGCAGCGCCAGCACATGGGCCAGAGGGCAGAACGATGAAGAAGCCTGGCTCGGAGGTGACGGGCGTCAGCAGCCAAGGGGAAGCGCACCTCCTCCTCCAAGAGGGCGACACTTCCCACAAAAGGCAACACTGACTTGCAACGACGCCCTTCCGCGACAGGGCGGCAGGGCGAAGCCTCTGCGATACCGCGGGAAATCGGCCGATCGCGATGATCGCGATCGCCAGGATGATCGCCATCATCGCGATCATCGCGATCGCCATCATCGCGATCGCGACCAGGGGGGCCAAGGGGGGCACAGAAAGGACAACGGCACCACCAGGGCGAACAGGCTGGAGCCAGAGGACAGCCTCCGTAGTCCCAGACGAAAAACGGCGCCCTCGATCCACAGCGAAGCAAGCAGCCCTCGGAGATGCTCCAGCTGCTCGCAAAGCCGAGTTCGCAACAACGGCGACGCGGCACTATCCCTGGGGGGACTGGGCACGAATCGGTACTTGAGCTTCGTGGCATCAGCGGCCTGACTGATGCATAGATTCGCCTGCCTGCCACCCTCAATCTGTCGAGCCAGCAACTCGATGCGACCGAGGCAGGGCGTCGCAGGCGCCAGAGGCCGCGGGCCAAGTGAAGGTTCGAAGCCACGCCCCAGCACGTGCTAGAGCCAGAATGGCTAAGAATGGTGATGATGATGCTTATAATATGACGATGACGATCATCATCATCATCACCACCACCACCACCATCGTCATCATCATCACCATCGTCATCAGCATCATCATCATCATCATCATCATCATCATCATCATCATCATAATCATCATCATCATCATCATCATCATCATCATCATCATCATCATCATCATCATCATCATCATCATCATCATCATCATCATCATCATCATCATCATCACCACAGCAATCAGCATCACAGCAGCAGCGGGCAGCGCAGCAGCAGCATCATCTTCAGCAGCATCATCATCATCAGCAGCATCATCATCATAGGAGGAGAACGGGGGAGGAGGAGAGGGGAGGGAGGAGGGAGGAGGGAGAGGGGGAGGAGGGGAGGAGGAGGAGGGAGGAGGGAGGAAAAGAGGGAGGAGGGAGGAGGGAGGGAGAGGGGAGGGAGGGGAGGGAGGAGGGACGAGGGGACAGGGAGGAGAGAGAGGGAAGGAGGAGGAGGAGGAGGAGGACGAGAAGGAGGACGGAGGAGGGAGAGTAGGAGGGAGAAGAGAGGAGGAGGAAGAGAGGAGGAGGAGGAAAGAGGGAGGAGGAGGAGGAGGAGGGAGGAGGGAGGAGGGAGGACGGAGGAGGAAGGAGTGAGGAGGGAGGAGGGAGGAGGAAGAAGGGAGGAGGGAGAAGGAGGAGGAGCAGGAGGAAGAGGGAGAAGGAAGAGGGAGGAGGGAGGACGAGGGGGGAAACGGAGGGGGGAGGAGAGTGAGGAGAGAGGAGGGAGGAGGGAGGAGGGAGGAGGGAGGAGAAAGGAGGAAGGAGGGAGGAGGGAGGTGGGAGGAGGGAGGACGAGGAGTAGGAGGAGGAGGAGGAGGAGAAAGACTCGGGTTCGGAACGCCGTGAGGACATGGTCAAGCCTGGGCACTGGAACCACACGTCAGAGCTGCGGGAAAGGGACTCCTGACTTGGGAGTGGGTCCCCTGGGAAGACGACTGGGCACCTTGGCCACCGCCTTGGTAGGGTCACGACGCGGGCATTCCTTGCTCAGATCGCGCACGTTCACCGTGCCGAATCTCCCGCAACAGCGACAGAACAAAACTCCACGAATTACAGACAACGTGTGTGTAGCATGCACATGCGGATACAACACGTGCAACATAAGGTCATCGTTGGCCAGCGCACGTGCTCCACAGCAGGAGCCTGGCCAAAACCGTAGCAGAAACCTCTGAGTGGAAACGTATGATGGCAAATCTGGCAACGGAGGAAACTACTGCGCTTGATAATGGTTCGTGACCTGTGCACATGAGTCCCTTCTGCTTCTTGGAAAATCAAGAGAGAGCACGGGGTCAGGGGGGGTGGCCGTCCTACCCACATGGCGACAGTCCTGTCGCACGAAGTGGCCACCTCCATGTTGATGGCCAAGAGGCGGCACAGGACGCTGTGTGCCTTCGCATCTACCTGTTGGATGGCCTGGGCGGCCTCCTCGGGAACGACACACTTTGACGCCGCCCAGCCT